GCAAAAATTGATGATGAGGATAAGGCCCTGTTACTTTTGTGTTCTATTCCCCAATCTTTTAAGCATTTCCGTGATACTATGATTTATGGAAAAGAAACAATTTCATATCAGAAAATTAAATCTGCACTAAAATCTAAAGAGCAAATAGATAGGGATATCACTGGTGAAAGTAGAGGGAATCAGGCTGAAGGTCTGATTGTTAGGGGTAGAACGGATAAAAGAAAATTTGATAGTAGTAGATCTAAATCTAGATTTAAATCCAAACATAGAAATTTGGAGTGCAGATATTGTCATAAAATGGGGTACATTAAGGCTGATTGCTTTAAATTGAAAAATAAATTAAAACAAAAGGGAAAAATTATTGAGTCCGCTGAAGCTAGTGTAGCAACTGATGAGAATGTTGGAAATATTTTCTTTGCTATTGATGATAAGACGAGGTCTAAAAATGAATGGATTTTAGATTCGGGTTGTTCTTATCGCATATGTCCTAATAGAGATTTATTTTTCACATATGAATCTTGTGATAGTGAAATTATTTTGATGGACAATAATGCCGCGTGTGATGTTGTTGGTAGAGGCACAGTCCGAATTAAAATGCATGATGGTATTGTGAGGACGCTCAGTAATGTTAGACATGTTCCTGATTTAAAAAAGAATATCATCTCTTTAGGCACCCTAGAGGCCCTTAGGTGTATATACACAACTGAAAGTAGAGTTATGAAAGTTTTTAGAAGTGCCCTTGTTGTTATGAAAGTTTGTAGGTCTGGTAGCTTATATATTTTGCAGGAAACTACTATCACAGGCTCAGTTGCAGTCTCGTTATCATCATTGTCTGACATCACCAAATTATGGCATATGCGTTTGGGTCATATGAGTGAAAAAAAATTGAGCATATTGAGCAAAAGGGGTCTTCTTTACGGACAGAGTACTAGGCCATTGGATTTTTGTGAACACTACATTTTTGGAAAGTAGAAAAGGGTCAGCTTCAATTCTCCGGCAATTCACAAAACAAAAGGTACTCTTGACTATATTCATTCAGACCTTTGGAGTCCAGCTCGTGTTCAGTCTAAGGGTGGTACTAGGTATATGTTGACTTTCATTGACGATTATTCTAGGAAAGTTTGGGTTTATTTTCTGAAGCATAAAAATGATGTTTTTCTAACCTTTAAACAATGAAAGACTTTGATTGATAAGCAAACAGGTAAACATATTAATGGGCTTCGAACAGATAGTGGCATGAAATTTTGTGAAGGTGACTTTGATGAATTCTACAAAAATAAAGGAATTGTTCGGCATCACACTGTTAGGATGATGCCTCAGCAAAATGGTGTGGCCGAATATATGAACATAATACTCTTAGAGAGAGCAAGGTGTATGATCTCAAATGCAGGGTTGACAAAGGACTTTTGGGCAGAGGCGATTAATATAGCCTGTTACGTTGTCAACCGCGCTCCTTCTGCAACACTTAACTTTAAAACTCTGGCGGAAGTTTGGTCAAGTACTCCTGTTGATTACTCTGATTTAAAAATTTTTGGGTGTCCAGCATACATGCATATAAATGAAGGAAAATTAGAGCCTCGAGCTAAAAAATACATTTTCCTTGGGTATGCTTCTAGGGTAAAAGGATATAGATTATGGTGTTCTGATCCCAAATCCCTAAAATTTGTAATTAGTAAATATGTTACATTTGATGAATTATCTATGTTATCTTCCAAAGAGGAATCTACTAGTTGTACAAATGACAGTGCACAGAAGCAGGTAGAGCTTGAGATTGGTAGTTCAGATTCTTTTTAAGTTGAACTCTTCTACTCAAAGAATGCTAGTAGATGGTTCCGAATCTACTAACAAAGATGATCTAGAAGAAGAGCAATATTCCATAGCTAAGAATAGATCACGGAGAGATATTTGACCACCACAAAGATATGCAAATTTAGTTGCATATGCTTTATTTGTTGCAGAAGAAACAAGTGAAGTTAGTGAGCCTACTATCTACTCAAATGTAGTTTTTTGTGATAATTCCGCTAAGTGGTTGATTGCGATGAATGAAGAAATTGAATCTCTTCATCAGAATAGAACTTGGGATCTTGTGAAGCCGTCTTCGGGTAAGAAAATTTATATAAAGGACAATCCGCTGATATGCTTACGAAGCCTCTTCCGGTTTACAAGTTCAAGTAGTGCTTGGACTTGGTTAGTGTTCATTGTTGGTGATTGTCCGTTGGGGCTTTTGTGAAGAAGGTGGAGCAAGTTTTGTTAATTGTTAATGTTGGGACATGCCTAAGTGGAGATTTGTTAGTTTGGCAAATCCCACATAGTCCCACATTAGGAAAATCAAGTTTGGTATCTCTTGTTTAAACTATAAATAAGGGCTTGGGCTTTGAAGTCAGGTGTACCATAAAAAACCTAATTGTTTGCTTTAGGTTTTTCTTGTTTAGTAATTTCAGGTGTTTTATGGCCTAGGAATATCTTCCTAAGGCATTTGTAATAGTCCCTCTTTTATAGTAGTGATTTGCTCATTCTTCGTTCGTGGATGTATGCCAATTGACCAGACCACGTAAATTTGGTGTTTTTGTCGCTTTTATTATTTTTGCTTTATTGTCTTTGTTGGGTTATCAAAATTACCTTTTGGTAAATTTCCTGGGACTACTCTAACATAACGCACCATTGATCTTTATATAGAATGGACTAATCCATCTTGAAAGATCAAGACTCTAAGCACCATCAAGATTTCTTAAGCAAATCAGACTCGAATCAAGTTGGATTCTCATCAACAAACATAGAGAAAGATTAAACATAATATTTTATATTCCTCATGAGATGATGTTCTTATAGTGTTGAAATCTTAATGCTCTGTTATTAGGAAAGATTCTCCATATTTGGTTAATTGAAAAGGTATTATCTGCACTAATATGATGAAACTATAATAAATTGATTTTTCATTGGAGGTCGATTTGTTTTCGAAATTGATACGAAGGTCAGACAAAAAGTCATACCCCATTTGGTGCAAGTCGATTAGTAGAGGCTACACTTGGCAGAGATATGGACTTAGCTTTCTCCAACCCATCACACTCCCTGGCATTGAGCTGCTGCCTTTGTTTTATCTTCATTTCAATGAAATCCAAATGAAGGTCAAGTTTTAGAAAGAGTTGAAGAACAGATAGAGCAGCTAACCTATCCCCATTTGCCAGTAGATCACTTTAGCTCATCCTTGTTAAGTGGCAATACCAAGGTGACTGGGCCGATGCAAGGAAATATTAGAGACGAGCTGTTTGTTACCGAGCATCATACTATCCTGAAATTTATTGGTATTGCCTTGACCATTGATAGGACATATTTTGATCTTATGTGAACCATCGACAAATGTTACAGATCGACGCAACACCGTACGCCTTCAAAACTGCGGGGTGCATGCCATGTCAAGCTCCAACGGTATGACTGTATGGCCTGACCACCCCAAGGGCTGGGGGCGGTGCCGCTTGCTGTTAGGGCAGTGCCGTTTGACGCCGCTCAAGCACCCCTGAAGACGCCACCTCGTTAGATAGGTTATTCCGCCCCCAGAGTCAACGGCCATACCGGACCAGGGCCCGACCAATTCCCGCATGCAGGTATAAATACCCCCGACCTGATCCAGGAAAAGGAGAGAGAAAAATCAATTGATCACTCCACTGACTTGCTCGTCGGAGGGACCTCGTCAGGTGATCCCGACGAGGGCTATTTTTATAGGAAAACATAGCCATCTCACGAAGATGAGCTGCCAACCACCCTAGAGAGGGAGAGATACAGCACGACATATATAGCACCCAGATCAGGACACCAAGGAATGCTGATCAGCACCCCATCGTGAGGGCCCGATCGACCTCGGAATCCAGCTCAGCCGGCAGAAGACTCCCGACATTGACCCGTGGACCAGGCTGTACTAACTCATTAGTCACGACATATTTATTCACCAACAATCATGTATCATTCTTATCATAAATAAATGATTAATCTTCTCGATGACTATAAATGCTCTGGACTTGCCCACAATAAAATATGTTAGTAACAGAACATCAACTACCTATCACCACCGTCACTTTATATATAAACATAATTGAATAAATTATTTTATTAATAATTACAAATAGATAAATTTATTAGCTTCAAATCATACGACGAAGGGTCTAAAGTTAGTCATTACCTAGCGCCACAAGCCTACGCGACATAAGACTACGAAGCACCAAACAAATAAATCATATACACTACCTACCCAAAGTCCCATCGAATCTTACCTCATTCCTACTTCTTATTCTCATAGTCAATATGAAATTTGAAAAAGGTTAACATATGCAACTGTACTGGTATAAATAAAGAAACTGTTTTTATGATTTTTAAACTTTGATTGTTCAAGTTGTGGAAAAAAATTAAAATCTTCTCATGATGCCAAATTGTTTCAAAACCCTGCCAAAGGATCTATTTGCTCAATGGGACCAGGAAACCAGTTTTGGTGGCATCTCAATCAGACACCAAGATTTCTCCAGCATGTAAAGATACTGCATGTCAGTGTTCTAGTCACCCCTGTACAACAGCATAACCAGAACACCAGATTGGACCATGCTCTTGTCAATTTGTGACCATTTTGGCACTTTTGCATTGGATCGATACGATTCGATGTCGAACCTCATCATATGTTACTTGGAACTTTAAGAAAATTGCAGTTTAACAGACATTTTTCTAAGCTTTTAGCAGAGTGATTACTTGTCTGAGCAGCACTCGTGTAGTAACTCTGCTCTAAAAGCATTCTCTCCACACTGGTTCATGGTTCAACTTCATTCACCAAGTAATAATTATATTCTCTTAATTAATCGGAAGCTGTGCACTTTCAAGTAAAAATTTTCCACATCAAATACAAAAGCCTCCTCGAGAAGAATATGAAGAATATAGTACTGGAAAACAGACCCAAGAAAGAATCAAGATCAGAGCTAAATGTTTTACTACTTTGTTTAATGCTAAATTTTGTTTGGCATTTAATTAGTAAATCAAACATAAAAAACAACAGCTGCTACCAAACCTCATAAACAATGCCTCAAGACATTCTTTCTTATCCTATAAATACAGCACCTATTAATACTTGAATATGAGGGGGAAAAGAAGATTGGATCTTCCAAGCTTTAAACTTCAATAGCTCTTCTGCTTTCTGCTGACCTCTTTCTTCCTTCAGCAAGATTAGATCTGGCATTTATGTGTTTGATATGAAGACAACAAACCCCCACCAAACCTTTGCAGAAAGTAAAGGGAAGGACTCCATGACCAGCCTTAAGAACACTCACAACACTGATAAGATTCTCTGCTTCTATGGCTTCAATCCATGTGGTTCCAAATGGTCAGTGATGGGTCCAAACATTATTTAGAACGTGAACTTTGTGATGCCAATTGAATAGGCATTAATAATTACCCCAAAACTCCTTCAGAACGTTACTCTCTCTACTTCCGACTTTATTCTCTGACAAGTGACAGCCACAGACATGCTAGAATTCACATAAATATTTTTCTCCTAAAATGACACACAAACAGACAAAAGAAAGGGTGACTGGCTGAACCTTTAAGCTTTACAAAATTGTAATCATGGAAGAGACAGAAAGGTAGAGTTTTGCTGAGCACACATGGATCTGCTCTCTCTCTCTCTCTCTCTCTCTCTCTCTTCCTCCTGCAACAACACATGCTTCCCATTAGCAAGGGCCATCAAAGAAAAAGATGAAGTCTTATCTACTCCATTTCTTTATTTAGAGATCAGAATGAGCTCCCCTGTAGAAGATAGAGAGGGATAAATAGGCGGAGTAGACTGCATTATTTTCTAGATAAAGATAAAGAATTTTCATTTCTTCTAGGCATTCATGTTCATATATTACTCAAACCAAGGCATGAATTTTCTTCTCTCATATCAAGAAGAAAATGAGAGAGAGATTCCAAAACTTTGGCCTCGAAAGATGCTCTCTTGCGTCAGAACCAGAACCAAGACATCTGATGTCAGAGAAGAAAAGAAGGCGATATCTGGAATGGAGAGAAAAAGACTGATCTTTTGTACGTATTCTATTTAGAAGACTATTATGTGGACAATGAGAACCCAAACCAGGCGAGAAAAGAAGAGAAGACATCGGTGCAGGAGAAAGAGTGCACCGTAGAATAGGAAAAAAGAAGTGTTTTAGAGGATAGAAATGGCTCGCACTTCACGGGCAGAATAGATGGCGAAACCAGGGAAGACAAAAGGGAGGTTTCTTAGTGAGAAACCGACGAAAGAGAAGCGATCGAAGCCTTCCATCCTCCATTCCATTACCTTTTCGTCACCTCAGAAGGGCAAGCTTTTGGACGTAGAGGTGGCGGTGAGCGCTCTAAGCCGCTCCCACGGCGCGAAGTCCTGAGCCAAATTCGCCCGCCTGACGATCCTTCGCATGTTGTTCTGCAGGCTCTGCTGCACCAGCTCCCTCACCGCCCTCCTCTCCTCGCTCATCCCCTCTTCAGCAGGAGCCGTCTCCGCCGCCGCCCCACACAATGGCGCCGACACCGCCGACACGCCGGAACTCCCTCCTGCCTCTGACACTCTTTTCCCTTTCTCCACTGTTAGTATCTCCAAGAGCCGCGAGGCCCGCTTCTGGGCGAGCGGGGTGCCTAGCAGCGTGAGCTCGAGAAGGGCAGAGACGGCCCCGGCCTCGACCATGGCCGCCCGGTCGCCGTGCCCCTTGTGGGCCATCACCATCAGCACGTACGTTGCCTTCTCCTGGCACGCGGCTGCGTCGCACCACCCTAGGACGTCGATAAGGATGGCGAAAGCATCAGCGAAGCGGCTCACAGCCCGGCGCCCCTCACCAGAGGCCACGAGGTTGGATATCACCGCGAGGGAGCGTTCAGTGACCGCCATGTCGCCGATCGCCGCCAGGAGGGAGGGGACGAGGCCGGCGTCGACGAGGAGGGGGAGGTTGACGGAGGCGATGGAGAGATTGAAGAGGGCGCGTAGAGCGTCCTGCCTCGCCGTGGGGCTCGTCTCAGGGCTTCGAAAGGCGGATAGCAAGAAGGGGATCGCGCCGGAGGCACCAATGACGGGCTTGTTTGAATCCAACGCACCGAGGCCGAGAAAATTGGCGACGATTGCTTCCGAGATCGATGGGTTGCTTCCGGACTCGATCAAATGTAGCATCTTGTGGACGGCGCCGGCCTTCACGATCGCCGCCTTGTTCCTGGAAACGCACACATTGGTAAGAAATCCCAGCAAAACAGCATAAAAAACCGAGGTTCGATCTCACATCGAAGAATGAGGTGCTTACAACTCGTTGCCAATCCCTAGGTTGAGAAGCGCGTAGAGCGCAGCGACATGGAGATCAGGATCCTTGGAGTCAAGCATCCCGACCAAAGGCGGGATCGCTCCGAGCATCGCGAGCGTCTCCCTTGCTTCGGGGTCGTCCTTCGCGAGCCTCCTCACCTCCGTCGCCGCCTCCTCCCGCCGATCCCCGCCAGCATTGTGGTCGTCTAGCTGCAGCCGACCGACCACGCACTGGATCTCCTCGAAAGCCTCCACCTTTCGCCGCGCCTCGGCGTCGTCCGCCTCGTCGGAGCCGGAGTCGGAGGGCTCCGCCTGCAGTAGCTCCATGAGCCGCTCCGCCCGGCCAGGCCTCGGTCTGCGGGGAAGCGGCTCGGTCACATCAACGCCGCCGCAGGCCTTCCGTCTGCCGCGGTGGCGGGAGGCGCCGCAGGCAATCGCCTCGAGGATCCTGCGGCGGAGGGCGGCGGGGGAGAAGGTCGGCCAGAGGCAAAAGCCGGCGGCGGCGTCAGGGAGCATGCATTTGGCCATGGCGGGTCCTCAAAGCCGTCACCTTTAGTGGAATGGCACGGGAGACAGGACAGAATGGAGAGAACCAAAGCGTGGGGAAGAAGCCATGGATTCCGTACTATCAGCTCCTTCGCTTCTCTCTTTTATCTCTCGCCTCTGGCTCCCTCCAGCGATATTATAATCGCATATCCCCTTCTTTAAGAGTCATGGTCCCACGCAGAGGCCCCACCAACAACTCGGAAAAGTAAACTAATGCGTAAGAAACAGATGGGTAGAAAATTGTGAGTCATATGCTAATCAAAGTCTAATTCAGAGTGCATGTGATACTAATGGAATCCACTCAACTTACATCACATTTATACCACATTTGTGATGGTCTAAGTTGGAGAACGCACGGATTGTGCCCACATATTTATACCACATTGCATAATACAGTAGGGTATGTCTGCATGGGGATGGGCCAAGAAATAAAACATCCATGAGCGGAAGGGAACATGTTGGGTCTTTCCTATAAGATGGATTAGATGTCAAGGTATCCGTAACTAATCCAAGCATTTTACTCTATCATTCCTTGGTCTCCCTCAGCATGCAGCTGGATCTCCTTTTTGTTGGACGATGGCCATCTGCAATGTACTCTCCGTGCCTCTCTCTCTCTCTCTCTGTTGTTCTTCCCTGAGTTTATTAATGAGTGAAGCACCTACCACTTCACTGTTGACAGCAGCGCAAGGGGCGGGAGTGCCATCAGAGTCAAACAAGGTTGACATTTAGGGGATGTGTGTTGTGTCTTTCTTCAAGTCTTGGAAGGGAGTGTGGTGGGAAGGTGGATGTCACCTCACTTCAGATCCGGGAAGCAAGCACAGTGCATGTATTAAATAGAGAACAAAGAGAACATGGTGAAACATGATGTGGTTCTGCTTATAAAATAATTGATGCAAAAGAGAAATAGAAGATAGATAGAAAGAGAGAGAGAGGGAGACTTTGACTAATGTGATTTAATTACCTAGTTTCTCTTTAATATATGTTATGTCACAGAAGTATGTCAGATGGTTTGTCCATTCCAATAAGAATTTTAAAAAGGGAAAAAGATGAATAATTAGATTAGGTTCCGAAATAAATAAATCAAAAATAAATTTCTCATTGGAGATTCTAGTGGTTAAGGTTGTCTATTTCAATAAACAAATCCAAAGGGTATACAACAATATGACAAATATAGTATATGTTCATTGATGGTATTAAAATTTTATGACTTTATTAATATTATCGAGAAATAAAATATAATAAAAAGGAATAAACTTAGATAGTGATGATTTCTTTCTTTTGGATATATTTATTAAAAAATGGATGAAGTATTATTGATCAAGTCTGGAGGTCCTGTTGATCTATCCTCTATTTTATTATCATTATATGCTCTGATGAGTAGAACGTTTGGATGTATTACATTTCTGAAGTGGATTATATGCATTTTTTGGAAAACAAACTCAATTAAGAGTTTATAAAATAATAATAATAATAATAATAATTAAAAATATAGGTGGACTCGATTTTGAAAGAAATAAATCAAATTAAAATTTTCATTGAAAATACCAGTGCACAAAACATAGTAAATGTTAAACCACTGTAAAAAAAAAACACTACATGCCTCATCTCCACCATCTTTGGTGTGAGACACAGTAGAATGAGATCTTGGCTTTAATTCAAGAAATTGAAGACCAACTTAACAGTCAAACTGTAGAATATTTCAACAAAACCACCACATGATTACATCACATATTGAATGGTGGAATGACTCAACACATCCACATGATGCACATTGTGCGGACTAGTCCTTGAGATGGTGATGCATCCATGCTGCAATGGGACAACGAGAGGAGTCAACTCTTGTGGACGTGACTGCTGCATTTCATCAAACAAGGCTGTCAACACTGGTCGAGAAATATATCATCACAAATCTATCTAATTTTCTTAACTAGCAAAATTTTTCCATGAAATCAGTCTAATAGATATTTCTTTGAGTTAATTAAGAACTTGCAAAAGGAGGATTTGGTAGATATTTTATCTCTAAATTCTAATTTTTAAATAGGGCATATATATATATATGTATGTATATATATATATATATATATGTATGTATGTATGTATATATATATATATATATATATGTATGTATGTATATATATATTCAAAGTTTGGAAATAGCCTACTAATTGATACTAATTATTAAAACTAGAAAACTATATATATTTGGCGTGTTAAAATTCATTAAGAAAATTCAAGCTATTATGTCTAACTGTAGTTAATATTAATTAACTTAACTTAAAAATGTGAATTCTCGCAAAGCGTTTTAGTTTTAATAAATTCTTGCAAAACATCCTAACTTTCAAAAATTTCTTAAAATTTTCAAAATAGTAAAAGTAACAATCCAATAAATTCTCTCTCAATTTAAAAACTGCTATTTTCTCTCTCCATCTTTTTAATAAAGTAATCCAAATAATTGAACCGAGTCAAAAAATTTATTGAGATATATTAACTTATATATTTACAAATAATAAATAAATATATTAAATTATATTATATAATTAAATAATAATATCTAAATTTAAAACTAATTTATGTAATAATAAAGTCATGAGTAATATTATAATAATATTTACATATCTTAAAAAATATGGTACAATTTTTAAAAAATATTTAAGAAATTAAAAATAAATTTGAAATGTCTATATGACAATTATTTTTTTTAAAAGTTTTTTAAAATAGTTTATTTACTAATTTTAACCCAGAAAATATAAAAAATATATCATCATAATGTCAAAATATATTATATTAAATAATTAATTGACAGATATCAATTTATATTATTAAAAATAATAAATGAGTATATAAAAATATAGTAAATTATAAATTAATAAAAATAAAAAGTATAATTAATAATTAAAAAAATAAATATAAAGTCAAGAATAATATAATAATAATTATATATTTTAAAAATAAAAAATATAAAGGGCTTGGATTTTGTTAACCAAATTTTTAGGATAGGTTTCTTATCTATTTAAAAGACCAAATGTTAAAAACATTACATTTCATGGATAGAACATTTTTTATGATAATTAATTTTTTAAAAAAGGAAAATTAAAACTGTTCAGATGCTAAAAATATTAATAAAAATTAAAAATATTATAAAATAGAAAACTTATCATAAATGTAAATTTGTGTGTCATTCAAAGGTTTCATGAAAATTTCACAATATTTTGACCAATCCTTATGTTAAACACACTATTTTTTAATTCTACCAAATTAAAAATATTAAAAATATGTAAATTAGAAAAAAAAAAATCTGATAGATGTCCATCTGAATCCAATTGAAAGCTTTTCTAAAAATTTTAGAGTATTTGATCCAGTCCTTGTATGCCATACAATATTTTTTGTTTGACCCAAAAATACTGTATTGAATATCAGGACTTATTTTTTTTACCAAATTTATACCATAAGTTACTCATCTATTTAAAAGCTCAAATATAAGAAAATATTATATGGATCCATCATATTTTGATTAAAAATATAATAAAAAATAAAAAATATAACCTTTTTAGATTCAAAATAAATCAGAATATAAAAAAAAACCCTCTAAATTAGAAAAAAAAAGTGATAGATATCCATCTAGGATGAATTTAAAATTTTTACAAAAAATTTAAAGAATTTAGACCATATGTGATACATTATTTTTGGTTTAACCCAAAAAATAGTGTATCATATACCAATAATTGACTTTTCAGGACCAAATTTTTAGCATAGTTTGTTCATTTATTTAAAAGCTCAAATTAAAAAAACAGAGTATGAATCCATCATGTTTTGATAGAAATAAAAAATGGTAAAAATAGGAAAATCGTAAACTATTTAGATTCTGAATAAATAAAAAAATTCAAAAATATTATCTAAAATAGAAACAAATAGTGATAGATATCTATCTTTGTATTTCAAAGCTTTCATAAAAATATGGAAGTATTTGGATAGTCTTTGTATTTGATACATTGTCTTTTAATTTAAATTAAAAATAATGTATCATATATCGGGGTTTAATTTTCTTAAACAAAATTTTTTATCATAGGTTGTCCATCTATTCAAAAGCTTAAACGTCAAAAAATATTGTGTGGATCCATCATGTTTTGGTAGAAATGAAAAAAATAAAGAGAAAAATATCAAAACAACAAATTATTTAGATTCTAAATAAATAAAAAACTCTAAATTAGAAAATTGACGATAGTTGTCCATCTGCGTCGAATTTAAAGCATTTATAAAAATTATAAAGTATTTGAACTAATGATACACTATTTTTGGTTTGACTCAAAAAATAGTGTACTATATACTAGGAGTTGGCTTTTCTGATCCAAATTTTTATCATAGGTTATTCCTCCATTTACAAACTCAAATATTAAAAAATATTATATGGATACATGTTTGATGAAATAAAAAAAAAATTAGAAAAACCGTATACTATTTAGATCCTAAATAAATAAGAAAATATTTAAAAAAATAAATTAAAAAAGGGTGATAGATGTATGATGCAATGCAATATTTAAAAAAAAAGAGAGAATTTAGACCAGTACTTGTATGTGATACATCATTTTTGGTTTGGACCCAAAAATAATATTTCAGATATCAGGGCTTAATTTTTTAAATAAAATGTTTACTATATGTTGTCCATCTATGCAAAAGCTCAAATGTCAAAATATATTACATGAATCCATCGTAGTTTCATGGAAATGGAAAAAACATAGACCAAATATGAAACCACCCATGGGTCTAATTTAGAAAATTTCTAAATTAGAAAATAAGTGATAGATATCCATCTGGGTCTAATTCAAAGTTTTTATGAAAATTTCATAGCATTTGGAGTAGTCCTTATATGCAATACATTATTTTTTAGTTTGACATCAAAAATTGTGTATCGTATACCACGAGTTCATTTTTTTGGATCAAATTTTTACTATTAATTGTATTTCTATTTATAAGCTTAAATGTGTAAAAACATTATATGGATCATGTAACACCCTATTTGTAATTTCATCTATACCCTATATGCATGACTAAAGTAGGATATCATTTTTTTTCATTATTGCTATTAATTGGAGTATAGTAGAAAATAGATAGTCTTAAATTTAAAATATATTAATTACTAAATAAAATGCTAGAGTTTCTCTTATATTTAGTATTTTTGACACCTATATACATTTATATGATCTAACCAAAGATAAATACAAATATAATAGGTCCAAAATTTAAACATACAAAATCTTTATAAGTCATCATCCATATCTACATTGCCATGGGCATGTGCTCACTTTTCTATCCATTTACTTGAGCGAGATACTAATATCCTAACTTACAAAATATAATCTATAGTCAATAATCACTCAGTAATTATAAGTTTTTATAGCTTTCTTTAAGTAAGCATGCATATGTCATGTATACCATATTTCAAAATCATTCGCATTAGATAATTAATAGTAAATATCTTATCCTATCACTTTTTTGTAAG